AATAAACTGTAGTTGATAAAATAAATGCATGAATAAATAGTTAATATGTATAAGTACTTCTGATAAGGATGAATTAAGTCAGATATTCCTTAAAAGTTAGAAATTAACTAACTTTTACAAACATGATGAACTTCAAAACAACTATCTCAAGAACTGTGAACATAGATACTGATCACTTGTCGAAAAGAATAATTTCCTGATAGCTGACTTTTTAATTAATCATGCATAGCTAAAAGTTGCTTTAATTAAGTATTTTCACCTTTTAAAAAATGTCTACCACATGGTGCTGATGATGTCGTTCAGAAGGACGATGAAAGCTTCGCGACCAAACCATCCAGCTCAGAGAACAAACCTACATCAAAATGTCTACTACATTATCCTAAAAACGAATGCTTAAGCGATATTATTTTATGAAATGACTAACGTATATGATGTTATAAAGTTAGTGTTATAATTTCACGGATCTTAAAAATTACATATACAGCATATTATAATCATAATAGTAATAAGACCCCAAAATATATTGTAATCTGTAATCTAATACAAATGAACGCTTTCAGTGTGATGAAAAATGAAAGCTGTTTAAAATCCCAGTCGATTGAAAAGCCTATTCCCTGTATTTTACTAGTTAGTAGTAATCAAAACTATGAGATTCTGACAACCTGAAGATCGACAATGTAAATATACAAAATAAATATAAACTTACGCATACCAGTTCAATGAAAATGATTTCCAAAAGTATTGAGGTTTGATGAGTTAATACAGTTAAATAACCAACTATTATTAACTTGTTACATTTTCACTTTGTTTACTATCGGTCAAAAATTTGAAGTAATTTTCTAAACCTCTTTTATGCATTGACCTGAAAACTATATGCTTTCTAAAGGATTTGACACGATCAATTGCTGCTTCAACACTTAAAGATTCTTTATACATCAAATAACAAGTTAATAAGAATGCTGAACGTGTACGACCGGCTTTACAATGAATATACACGCATCCATTTGATTGTACACAAGAGTTGATAAATGAAATTCCAGCATCAATCTTTTCAAAAATTCATAAAAAAAACAAAAGAATAACAAAACATAATACGTCATAATTGTATCAGTATTTTTTTGGAATACAGAAACATAGTTTGTAACACTAACACAATTGGTGAATAAATTGAACAGATGAGTAGAAAAGAAAGACCATAATATTTGGTTAAAGAAGCAGATAGATAGACTTAAGCAACGTAAAATCTAGTACAAATTTGTCTCATTCTCAATTATTACATTTTAACCCAGAAAAGTGATAGGTAATCATTAGGAAGAAATATAATGGAATGTAATAATACCAAAAATGGTAATAAAAAAACTTAAAGCAGAAAACACAGTCCAGATGGATTGAATGAAATCTAGCAGTATCAAGTATTAAATAATCTTAAAACTCAAAATTTAGGAAGATTGAACGAAAAATAAATACATCTAAGCCATTAGAACTAATTTTCAGCTGCCATCCAAGGATCTTTTTGTATTACAATTAACTGTCCTACAGCTAAACAGGCAATTGCCTCCCCAAAAAGTCAACATCATCATCGAATGACTTCACAGTAAAGTTTTTGAATTGGCTTGACTATTCCCAGCCTTTTTTCAATCTACTTCTGTTAGCTAGCAAAGCAAGTCGGGGTGGACAGTAGCTGAGCACATGTAACACGTGCCCTGATAAACAAATTAACCACGTTATTCAAAAATATTATCTAAAAAGCCCACAAATTTGCAATATCAAGCTAACAATACGCAAGTTAATATGGAGAGTCAATCAGAAGTCATCTAAAAGTCAAGTACATTTCATTGAGTCATTGGGTCGATTTCCTAAGAATAGAGTGGTATATATGTGAATGAGTATTTGTGCATTTCACTCGGTAGTCCAATGCAGTTTCCCACCCCCTCTTGTGTTCTCACTCAAATAGTCAGTTAGGGGGGTTAACGTGTTTCACACAGTGTATCAGTATCAGATCTCAAACACCGCACGTTACAACAGTATTCACATCCTTGTAGAAAATAAAATTGGAAATCACTGCCAATGATTCCTTAAGAATGATTTGTGAATTCATACGAGTGGATTGATTATAGTACATGGCTATTTCTACACATTGATAAGTTGATATGCCCTGGTACGGCCAAGAGTGAGGAGGGCCCGCCCTCTTTCTCGAAATGCTCTCACATGCCCACGCATATATAACCTCTGCCAGGGAAGTCCTACTCACTGCCTTTTCGTGGCGGAGTGTTCACGAAATTGAGAGGACGAAAAGCGAATGTCTGGCGCTTTGACCGGGTTGTTGGACACTGTGAGTCCACCTAGGAGAGTTTGGAAACCCTGATTCCTAACCAGTGGTGCACATGGGCTCCAGTATCCTGAAGGAACAAATGGCGTATGAATCAATCGTTGGTCACCGGCTACCATGGGACTGCATCTCCTCACGATGCTCCACTGCCTTGTGGATCAGACCTTCAGGTCAAAGGCTCGGGGTGTGGCTCCCTTGGAAAACTACCTGCTTCAGTTTTGGCACCTGGGCAGTATCACACCCCTCAAACAAATCAAATGAGATTTGTGAGGCGCATATTTATCTGGTGCTTCCTTGTACAAATATTTATGTGTTTAAATAAATGAATAAATAAATGATATGAAAAACGACTAAGCGACCTACAAAACTTGTATCTTCCGACCCATAATTCCTTAAGTAACGTAGAATCATGTATACTTTTGTATCTAGCACAAAGACTAAAAGTCTTATTTCACCAGAGAAAAAACTTATTCTGTTAGCCAGTTGTAATGTTTTTTGATATTGGTTTATTAGGAAGCCTAATCAAGTAATTCAGTTTCGTGAGCATTATCAGTTGACCGAATTGCGTAGATAAAAACCATCTATTGACCAACACCACTATTTTAACAACCTCAAAACGTACATCATTATCATAAAGGGAAGCAAACAAATTTGTGATGTCAACATCAAACTTTGCATTCAATAGTAAAATATCACGATTTTATATAAAAATTTTCAGTATCATGTGACTCCATCTTTTAGTCAGCAGAATTAAATACAGTAATTAGCTGTTTTTCTATTTGACGATAAATAAGTAATCTATATTCGAGACTAACTGAATAAAAAATATGTGATTAAAGTGCATTGATTAAGGTTGACATATTGTTAACAAGATAGTTAACAAAGAATGAAAATCACCTTTGAATAAAAAAATACTCACCTGTTCAAATGTAGGAACTCCCACAAAGTCGCGAACTGGTAGAGAGAGATACTTGATGCCTTGATTCACGGCATCCTTTTCTCCTATGACAAATGATTTTACTTCAAATGGTTCCAACAAGCTCACTATATGTGTGATATTTTCATCTGCCTGCCATTTATCCCAGGACTTTTTGAGTGGTAAAGCACCCACAATCAAAGAGGGAGAAATACGAGAGTACCATGGGCGCCCACAGCAATAATTCAAAAACAGCCCATAGGCGGTACTTACATAAAATCCAACTTCATTCACGAGCTGTACGACCATAGCAAAACAAGAATGAGAGTATTTAACTGGATAAGAAAAGATAAATACTAGTCACAACAACGCCAACAGATACCTTCTACATGGGCACGTAGCCAAGATAGAGTTTATTACTATGAAAAGCATATCCGTTTATTGAGAACACTGAAAACTACGGTATGAATAATACGTAAATGTTTAATAACTTCAGTACTAGATACAACTGATTCGGATGACGAATATTTAGAACATCAAAGCTTAAAATGAGTTTGGTGGATAATGGGGTATCGTAAAACAAGTGGTAATACTGTCCACATAATCATCATCGCTAATTGGTTACAACATAATCTATTTTATTCCATATCTAAACTGGTCGAAGGATGTCAAGTGATACATTGATGGCTATACTGAAAGATGAAGTTGACAAAAAATAAGCTATAATTTGAACAAACTTCAAAAGATTATTTTATTATTCGACTTTTAATCAATAACTTTTTATGGTTCAACCAAATGACCCTTCTGTGCACGTACTCCTGACCTTCGGAATAAAATCGCCAAACAATACGATGAACAAATTATCCTCGGTCGCTTCCTGTATGATAGAAAACACACTTCTATTATTACTAACACTTTACTTTGGAAAAATCTTGTAGTTCAGAATATCAAAAAACACTCAACAACGATTCAGGAGACTGATGCTGCTTTGGTTATCATTTTTTATCAAAACCTGACGTCAGTAAGGACTGACACCGGAGTCACAGTTTTAGTGGATATATCTACATGCAATAACAAAGTCAAGTACTGAAAGTTAGAACCTCATATACTAAGTAATTTCTAATGTCTTATTTTACCTAGAACTGCATAGCATCGCATTTCATCGACTACTCATAATAGCAAAGATATGAAACAAACTTTTCTCAAAATTTCATCAGATGTTAAAGGATATTCCCGAGAAAGAAAACGATATTCGTTTATATCCACATAAATTGGTGTACCATTCAGGAAAGAAAATTATATGTACCCTAGATTATGAGTTAATTATGAGCTTTTAAAAAGACTAGATCGAAAAGATAGACGTTATTTAGCCATTTTGAAAATCACTTAAAGCAACTGCCAATCAAACAAAATGTGCAGATAAGTTCGAATGGAAGATTCCGTACTCAGTATATTAATAATAATTTCATCTACTTAGATAAGAGTAGCTCTCATTAGGAACATGAAAACATTTAAAAAATTTATTCATAAAGTCTAAGTATGTACCCATAACCGCCGGATTACAAGAGGATCCACTATTACTGTGTTTATATCATTATTAAGGAATAGTTTAATGGTTAGCTTTAAAACAAGCATTCAATAAACATTTAAGGAAAAAATGACAATTATTTAGATTGAATTGCTTATTTATTTTTGTACAATTTCTTTATCTCTAACAACAAAACTAACATCATATGCATTTAAAATAACTGAGTATTATCCTTGGTTTTCTATGTTCATTTTGATACTTTCGCGAGCTTGCTGAAGATAATCATTGAGTATGACTTGTTTGTCTTTACTTAAAGGTTCCAGATTGATGAAAAGCTATAGAAAAGACGAAAAAGTGACAAAAAATTTCAGAACAAACATGAAATAATAATGTCTAGCAAACACATATTAATCGAATTCGAAGTTGTTAGTTCAGATTAAAATAGAGACTGCAATAAAAAGCATAATGTCGTTATCACAGACCCGGTGGTAGCGGTATCGTTTCTCGATGAGACATGGAAGCTCGCTGCTGAGGAGTCCCATATTAGGAAAAAGTAACTGCATAGTGCTTCGTGGTTGAATAACTAATATCAGTTTCTGATATAAACTGTGAAGTATTTATCAGGTTAATACCGTTGCCACGTCTATTGCATAGGATAAGGTATTTATCTTTGATATGAACAGAAAGTTACCTTGGTTCAAAATATAGTATCGCATGATTTTTCTAGCGTAATTCGTTTGAAATCCCAATTAAGAAATGGGGTATATATAATAATTATGCTTAACCTTAGGTTTAAATGGCTAGGCTAACCATTACCTTTGGCCATAGGATTATTCCTAACCCAGAGCTGTAATATTTTTTAAATAGCAATACCAGGAATCACGGCAAAAGAACATAAAAAACAGTAATCTGAGAACTACTGAAGTTGATCTGAGTCCTCTTGGATGTCATATGAGAATGACTCCGGATATGAACATTTATTTTGAAAGTCACTAATTGTATGCTAATCAACCAAGTCATAGTACGTTTCAACAGAATTATGGACTGTATCAGAAAAATAGCATGTTTCTATGAAGTGAAACAAAAAGGCTATTGTATAGATTAAGATTACGATTACAGACTAACAAGTTCTTATTAGAAAACAATGTGTGAGATAAGAAACTTCGGTCGAACTGTGAACTTGTACCACTATTAATACCCGGATAAGTTGAGATATAATTCAAAAATTACTGAATAAAATTTAAAGAATGTACTTACTTCAACATAATCCAGCAGCTTGCTAATCTCAGATGGACTCATATTTTGTTTGGACACACCCTTCGTATAATCCGAAACAGGCTGTATCGGCGGAGGTATTAAGTCGACATTTGACTTTATATGAACAGTAAAAGGACTAGAGGGTCTAACAAGGCAAACTAAACGAAGTATCCAACCTAAGCGATTGTAATGTTGATGTGCAAGAGTCTCATATACAAGTGGCCCAGGAGAACCTAATTCAGCAATCATATATAAAGCTAAGGGACCGTAATAGCGTGTGTGTCGTAGTAGAAGCAATGGATTGGTTAGACCGTTGGCTATTGATCCAGTGGTTTTTTCAAATGGAGTCCAAGCTAAATGGTTCACACGTTCATAAACACGATGGCATATTCGACTGAAATGGGGGTCATCTGGTTCGAATTGAACACATGTTCTGTCCAAAATATACAAAAATGAGCCTTGATCTAAAAGCGCCTGGTAGGGAGAAATTAAATATGGAGTAAAATAACAGAATCGTGGAAAACCCACTGCCAGAAAAGTTATGTTTACTATTACAAAATAAACTTGTGTGTACAACTACCTTACGCGTTACCATCAGTACAACCCTGAAAATGTGAATATGGTGGATGTCTTCAAAAAAGGATCTTAGTGATTTAAATACTTCATACTGTAGTCCCTTTTTCCTCTTTTCTGCATCTGAACACAGAAACTGAATTTCATTTGAACTCCTGTGCTATTATAGTTTACGTAGCCAAATTGAATTGTTCTATCTAGCATGGCGATTTGCATTGGCACTAGTTTCCTACCTAGCCCCAAAATGCCCTGGTGCGGCCAAGAGTGAGGAGGGCCCGCCCTCTTTCTCGAAATGCTCTCACATGCCCACGCATATATAACCTCTGCCAGGGAAGTCCTACTCACTGCCTTTTCGTGGCGGAGTGTTCACGAAATTGAGAGGACGAAAAGCGAATGTCTGGCGCTTTGACCGGGTTGTTGGACACTGTGAGTCCACCTAGGAGAGTTTGGAAACCCTGATTCCTAACCAGTGGTGCACATGGGCTCCAGTATCCTGAAGGAACAAATGGCGTATGAATCAATCGTTGGTCACCGGCTACCATGGGACTGCATCTCCTCACGATGCTCCACTGCCTTGTGGATCAGACCTTCAGGTCAAAGGCTCGGGTGTGGCTCCCTTGGAAAACTACCTGCTTCAGTTTTGGCACCTGGGCAGTATCAAACCCCTCAAACAAATCAAATGAGATTTGTGAGGCGCATATTTATCTGGTGCCCCCTTGTGCCAATATTTATGTATCCAAATAAATGAATTAAATAAGTTTCCTAACTTATTAATAATTGTGGAATGGGTTTGGTTGGACGAAAATGAATCTCACACCTAGAGCAGACAGAATATAACCTCAGACAAAAACATATCCGTCGGGTTACCACACAACAAAAGCTATGGTTTAATGTTATACACCGGAGTTATCAAACACAGGCCTATACATGACCTTAGACCAAACTGTCTCTATAAAGAGTTGGTGATATAACCTGGCTGGCTGCCTAAAATGAAGTAAACAAAGGTGAGTTTGACCCATCTGTTCTATAAATAAACCAGTAGTTAGTAGATTCACAGATAAGTGTCAGACCCTAGTCTGTCTACTCTGAGCTTCTTTCTATTCCGATCCTCTTTTAGGAACATTGTATGTAGTGACAAACAGTGGCGTCAGAAGAGTGAAAAACGAGGCCTTGCAACAATTTTATGACTTTCAGGCTGGGGAATTCATAATCGATACTTTATGAAGATACTTTATGGAATTTCACAAAATCTGTGTAGCGACACAAACTACATAAAAGTTTTGAACCCCGCCTTCGTTATCAGTATCTCCTTTTAAAATAAGGTGTACCTCAAATTCTATTAAAGTAACCCGTAGTTGGTTATAAAGTTATGATAATAGCCGTCCTTTCCATTTTTGCATCACTATCACTTCTGAAAAGAACCTTAGGTCATTATTGACGTTTAAAGCTCTATGAAGTAACACAAACGATAACTTACATTTAAATGCTCGTCTTCAAACATCATAGGAATAAACAACTTCCGACCAGACAAAGGAAAGTAGACTTGGTTAATGCGATCACGTTCAGAATGATCTGCGTGTCTTAAGTCGCCATTTGACTCTCTAACTACTATGAGACGGTTCTTTCTGTCATGCTTTAGTGTGGTATCTGTAAAAACTAGTTTAATATTTCCCGGAATAATCCCTTGAAGATCGCTATCTCGAGAAATGATTTGGCTATTTACAGGGGTTCTTGGGTTTAAAACAGGTGGCATCTGCAACTTTTGTTCTGTAAAAGCGGCAGTATATTTTTTGACCTTGTATAAGAGTTAGATAAATAATCCGAATCATATTACTATATTTAGTTCGGCATCACTTAGAAGTTTAATACTTTCCTTCCCAGCTCTTCTATAGCTTCGTTGATGAACTGTATTTGAATCTATGTAAGTAATCAGACGTAAAAGGTTGTGGACTTGAGGATTCGCAAACAGTTCTTGAAGGCAATAAGATGATTGGTTATACTTTGCTGTAAAGTCTAAAAAGCTCTGAATAGGTAATAAAATTACTTGAACAGTAAAATCTTGCTACTTGGAAGGGTTTTATGACCTTGTACATGATTTATAGCTCAGGAATTACAAGAGATACGGAATGTATGGCAAAAGGTCACGAGTTCCAGGGCCAAACAGAAAACGTGATTAGGTTTTCATTGGTCCTAAACTGAAAATTATGATGTAGCTGAAATAGTTTATAAAGCGAGTTTAAATTAATATTGAATTTAATAACACCATGAACGGGGAAAACCATACTCATTAAAACACATTATTATCATTGTTATCTAAACACATAAATATTGGTACAAGGAAGCACCAGATAAATATGCGCCTCACAAATCTCATTTGATTTGTTTGAGGGGTGTGATACTGCCCAGGTGCCAAAACTGAAGCAGGTAGTTTTCCAAGGGAGCCACACCCCGAGCCTTTGACCTGAAGGTCTGATCCACAAGGCAGTGGAGCATCGTGAGGAGATGCAGTCCCATGGTAGCCGGTGACCAACGATTGATTCATACGTCATTTGTTCCTTCAGGATACTGGAGCCCATGTGCACCACTGGTTAGGAATCAGGGTTTCCAAACTCTCCTAGGTGGACTCACAGTGTCCAACAACCCGGTCAAAGAGCCAGACATTCGCTTTTCGTCCTCTCAATTTCGTGAACACTCCGCCACGAAAGTCAGCTACAACGTAGTACCAGGCACATTTATGCATCGGTCCAAGTTGCCATACCTCGTTAGCACAACAAGATGAACACCGGATTCATAGAAGTAATTAATGTAGTGGTGGTAGTAGTATATAAATTATAGGTTGTATATAAGGATATAGTATAGGAAGGAAGAGAGATATGAAGCAATTTTAGTCTCAAGGTTTAAGGGAAGATAAAGAGTGTATACACCTACGCCATTGTGATCGATTCTGAGCCATGTCACCTAGAGTCTCCAACCATTGGTTACGATAGTCACGCGGACCCCAACCAGGTAGTCTGCATCTGTCAACATGGCTCAGACCAGAAGTTAGTGACTTCAAACACTGATGCCATGTTTTGGTTTGGCCGCCCCTAACTCTCTTTCAACAATCCCCTACACTAGTCATCATAGCGCGTCGTGGTAATCGGTGTTCAGGCATACGTAACACATGGCCCAACCATCTCAGTCGATGAAGATTCATCACCTCATCAACTGATTTACCATCATTCCCTAATACCCTGTGTTTAACCTCACTATTACTTACCCGGTGATCCCAGCAGATGTGAGCAATATTTCTAAGGCATCTGTGGTCAAATGCTAGTAACCTACGAGCATCTTCTACTCTTAATGGCCATGTTTCACAACCATAAAGTAGAACAGAGCGAACTGATGCGCAGTATACTCGTCCTTTAATTGATAGACGGATATCTCGTCTTCGCCATAGGTGACGTAAGTTGGCAAAAGCCAAACGAGCTTTTCGAATCCGTGCTGAGATTTCGTCAGACACCAACCCATTATGGCTGATCAGACTTCCAAGATAAGTGAAGTTGTCAACGCGTTCGACTACTTCACTCCCTATCCTTAGTTCAGGTGTTGATGCAGGCCAGTCCTGGAGTAACAATTTACATTTGGATGGGGAGAATCGCATCCCAAACATCCTGGCATTATTACTGTGTTCCAACAGAAGACTCTGCATTTTGCCAGCGTCTTCACCAAACAGGACTATGTCATCTGCGTATTCTAAGTCGATTAGTGGTCCCCCTGGTAGGAGATCAATTCCTGTAAATTCAGTCGAAGAGAGTGTTATTTCCAGCAACAGGTCTATAATGAAGTTAAACAAAAATGGGGATAGTGGACAGCCTTGACGGACACCACTTGAGGTTGTAAAATCATATGACAGTTCGCCATAAGCTCTCACTCGACTGGTAGTGTTCGAGTAAAGAGCCTTCACAAGGTTTATGTACTTCTCAGGTACACCTTTCAATGACAGACACTGCCACAGAACCTCTCGGTCTACAGAGTCAAATGCTGCTTTCAAGTCAAGAAAAACTATCATTGTCGGACGCCGATAAGCGTGTCTGTGCTCTAAAACTTGACGAATGGTGAATATGTGGTCGATACAGCCACGACCAGGTCTGAAGCCAGCCTGATTTTCTCGTGTTTGCAGTTCACGAGTCTTAGTTAGGCGCCCGATAATTATTGAGGCTAGTATTTTAGATGCTATGTTGGTCAGACTAATCCCTCTATGGTTATCGCAGGATGATTTTGACCCCTTTTTATATATTGGGACAATCAGTGATTGTGACCAGTCGGATGGGATTACATCCGTCTCCCAGATTTTAGCCAGAATATTAGTCAACCTAATCTCTAAAATCGGACCACCATATTTAAAGACCTCCGCCACGAAAAGGCAGTGAGTAGGACTTCCCTGGCAGAGGTTATATATGCGTGGGCATGTGAGAGCATTTCGAGAAAGAGGGCGGGCCCTCCTCACTCTTGGCCGTACCAGGGCATTTGGGGGCCAGTCATTTGTATGTACGCGTTAAATCCAAACCCGTCCAGAATATGTAGGATTTAAAGGAATATTGACTAACAGGGTTAAATGATAACTACACTTGAACATTTTATATGAAGTAAATCCAAAGTATGTAGAATGGCTGTAAAAATAAATCATCTGATACTATTGTTTTCAGTGCCCACCAAATACCCTGATACGGACAAGGGTGGGAACAGCCAGCTCCCTCTCGAAATGCTCTCACATGGCCAAACGTATACAACCACTACCAGGGAAGTTCTGCTCACTGACTTCTCACGACATTACTGTTGTTTATGTATTTGAAAGGATGGAAAATGAACGTCCGGCGCTTTGACAGGGTCGGTGAATATGGAGGATCCATCTAGGGGAGTTGAGATGCCTTGATTACAAAAAAATGATGCACTTGGGCTCCAGGATCCTAAAGAACCCATTGTTGGTGACCGGCTGCGATACGACTGCATTTCCTACAGTTGCTCCACTGTCTCGCGGATCAGATCTTTAGGACACAGGCTCAGGGTGTGGCCCTCCAAGAAAACCACCTGTTTCGGTTTGTGCACCCATGCAATACTACATCGCTCACACAAATCGGTAGTAATTGCTACTGACCCCATTGTAATTGTGTAGCGCATATATACTTGGTGCCCCCTGGTACCAATGTTTGTGTTCAAATAAATAAAGTTTCCATTGAATAAGAAGCACATAAAAGCGACTGTTACTTTTAGTATTAATTGATGCATCCTGAAAATGAACAGATCGCAAAACAAAAATAGCAAAGAAGTTTCAACCCAGAAAACCAAACGAAGTTGTATGAACGACATAAACAAGGAATTTGTAGATATTTAGGTGAAACTAATAAGACTGACCACTCATGAAAGAGTGAGACTGCACTAAACTGGTGAGAGCTGATAGTGGCTACCTTGGATCTGATTAGCTCGACAGCAAAATACAGTTTAACCCGCGGTTTCACTGTTTGAGAGATAAAATCTTGCTAACAGGTATGGAGTGGAATATATGAAAAGGCTACTACTTAAGTCAACAATTTCGTGTAGTTAGATGAGTGCACGCGTGACCATAAAGGGCTGGACATGGGCATATATATAAAGCGGGCTCTTACCAACGTTGGTCTGGGATTATAAAGACATGAACAGACTTAATAAAAGTTAGGGCTAAATGTTGTATAACCATATGCATTTTTAAGCAGACGGTACCGCCCATCCTACCTTAGACACATTTATTTACGCGAAATCCCCAACTGACCTTGAGTGTGAACTAGTCAAACAGATTTAGATTACATTAAGATTTATGTAGTAAGGTCAGAAAGCCTACGGTCCTTGTCGTTCCTTTTCTAATGTGTTTCTGTTAGTGCTTAATCTTCCTTTTAATGAGTCAGTTGGAGGTGTGGACACCACTGCTTCGGGTTATAAGTTCTAAAACTTGGTGATTCTGTGTGAATACCTGTGTACCACGGGTTCTTTTTGTTCATTCTTGGCTTTCCTACTCACCTTCTATGTCCTACAAAATGTCCTGATCTAGTGAGGAGAAAAAAAAGGATATATAAGGTACAAAATCAGGCAACCTCTAGATCTGCTGTAGGACAAAGTTAAGAGGTTTAGCTTTTCTAACTGCTCTTTGCATGGTGAGCCTGACAGTTCCATAGCTGCACGTATAGCTGCTGTTTTTACTTTTTTCAGGATATTCGAGTCATCTTTTGAACAGCCTGAACGCAGTTTTCAAGCTTAGTTCTCACTAAGGTTGTGTATAATGTAGTAAATATTGTAATATCTAACTTGGTGAATGTCCGTCTTAAAGCCCATGGAGTTCTGAACTCCTTAGCTGTAACTTCCCGGCAGTGGGCCGTGGTCTTAAGATAATGACTCACTGTCATTCCTAGATCCTTATGAGACCGCGAGTACTAGCACTTCCCCTGTGCTGTACTTATTAGCCTTTGCATCCCCAAAGTGCATGTAGACACACTTTTCTGCATTGATAAGGATCAGCTACTCTTTAGATCAGCTAATCACAATATTTAAGTCTGCCTGAAGTGCGCATGCATTTGCGTCTCCTGTTATTTCTCGCCAGATTTTTACATCAGCGTAAAGTACCATTGGGGACTCAACTATACTTGGGAGTTCGTTTACATACAGTATAAAAAGTAAAGGACCTAGGAACCTTGCGATGCTTCACTAAGTACTGGTCTCCAGATGGAACACTTCAAACTTACTCTTACATTTTGCCTACGACCTACCAGGAAATCCTTAAGTCATCTTACGAAAGGTTCGGCATTGCCAAGATTTCCTGTCTTCAGTAGCAGTCTGTTTGTTGGCACCTCGTCAAATGCATTGCTGAAGTCTACGTAGACAACATCCACTGATTTTCAATTGTCTAAGGCCTCTGCTTATTGCTCTTTTGCTATAAGGAGGTTTGTTTTGCAAGATAATCCTTTTCTGAAACTATGGTTTTTAGTTTATTTAAAACATCGTAGATTAAAAATTCTGTGGCTGCACCAGTTATACATTTTCTTTTATTATTTAACTCGACTGCAAAATAATTTATTCGAATATT